TCGTACAGCTTCAGTGTTTCTGTATAACAGTAAAAATCTCAAGCGTAACTCAATCGATATATTATTTTGCATTCATAAGCCCTGAGAAAAATCAAAAGGTATGTGCTTACCGTTTCGTATGTTCACTTAAAGTGAACTCTGTTTTTGACATATGCGAATGCAAAATAATGTGCCGTTTGAGTCACGTTTGATATTTTTACTCCTCGGAGTATCGCATGTTAAACGAAACAGTGAAGCTGTACGAGATGTGTCAAATGATTTGACGATACGGGCACATCAGTTAATCCTTCTCCATCATCATGTGTTGCAGCATGCAACCCGTACACCTTATTTCTTAACCACGCTTTACAGCATCAACGTTTATAGAAAATAATTTTTTCAACATCCGTTAAATACTTCTGTACTCTTTGATCTGGCTCGCCTGCTGCGATGTGGCTAAATTTTGTACGTTGAGGTTACAGGAATACGGTTTTTTGCTAAGGCATTGCGGGTTTTGGCTAAAGCTTGATAGGGAAAAGTGTAGTTTTATCCTTTTCCCGTAGTGACCAAGTTTATGCACTTATAGCAGCACAGGTCGAACTGCTACAGCATATATTTGACCCTTTCACCGACAGCCGGATGTCGCGACGGAGCCACAAATATCTCAAGTTGGCAAATGTCAACCGAGCTCTCTGTATGCGAGCTGACACTTCATCCGTGATGCGTCCATCGGGTGAGATACAGCTGTCCAGATGGCAAAACTTATCCACTTGCTATATTACTTCCCCGGTTGCTGGACTAACCCAATCTTGTGGTAACGTCTTACATTTTGAAGGTGCAAAACGCACGCCAAACATGGCGACACTAGCACTCAGACTACCCAGAAAAGCTTGCAATTCACCTGCACCTTCACTTAGTGCACAATGGCGGGTGCATACTCCAGATCAGACGGCCTAGCACCAATGAGTAAATCGGTGTCGTTATCCTCGAACAAGGATGGGGCTGTTTCAAGAATTAAATCTATACAAAAAGTTAAACAGAAATGGAGAGTGGGTAACCCTGACGAACACGTCATATTTAAAGGTAACGAGGTGTAGTGGGAACCGGTTTGAAATGATGAACAGTCTTGGTAACTGTACTCACCAATAATAACTCCGACTGAACAGAGTGTTGCACAATACAAGCGAGCAGATCCAGGCAGCTGTATTTCACAAACAGAGAAAAGATGGAACAAAATTTAGCACAAAATAAATCGAGGAAATCCACACATATAACATTCATTTGCAGTGAGACGCACCACGTGCATGTTACAATCCATGGTTACAGAGCATTGAAAACGGTGTTCAAAAGCGATGTGTAGATGAAACTAACGGGAAAATGTTATACGTATGATACATACAATGCAGCAGACAAACCAAGTAAAAGTGTATCACAAAACAGCTAATCAGCATTCAGGAACGTCAGACAAGGTTACTTCTACCGAAGCAGGGATTTTTATTTTTCGTAAGTTAGGAAGCACTGGACCGTTGTTTCGAACTGGCCAGGTCTCGTCAACAGTGCGAATCCATCGACTGGGGATCGAACTCGGGACCTCACACGCGCAAGGTAAGCACAAAACTGATAGCGGGGATTACACACCAACACCCACATACAACCTTACCTTGAAGCTAATTACCAGGAAGGAAATAGGTAAGTCAAACAGTTTATGGGAACACCGATACCGAATGCACAGTCCCAAAAAGACGCTGCCTAAACGAGCCTGGAAGGGGAACGGACTAATTGATTCCAATGATGAAACTCAGGGATCAAATGTAAATCGATTCATTCATTGTTTTTTCAATTTATGTCGTAAGTTCATGGATCTCATATCAAATGGAATTTAGATCAGTCTCATAATTATTGCTTCAGTTGAAATATGGACAGGACACAGGATTAAGAACAAAAATGATGTAAAACTAACCGCATTTTCATCTGCCCCAATGAACGAGCCTGCTCAGCTGCGGTCCGATCAGGAGCAGTTTTGCGGTTAGCACGGAAGGCGGCAATCAAAGCATCATCTCTCGCAAACATCTCCTTGTCATTAAACTCCTTAAAAGTGATTGAATCCAAATCCTGGTCATTTAGTGCTGCGGGTCCCAATGCTTGGCGTACACTATCGCGAACTGATTTCACTGCGGTTTCGTCAATCTCATCCTCCTCTGAGTCCTCTTCACTTGAGTCACTCTCTTCCACTTCGTTAACACTTTCAGTCGTCGGCCCTTCTTCGTCTGATGCTTCGGGGTGCGAATCACCAAAAGCGACATCTAGGCAAAATGATCGCGATAAATAACAGAACAGTTAAAAGTGAAAAATATCGTATATCCTCCGGCGATCGAGAGACAAACTGACGGAATGGTGAATGGATTGGAACGCAGTAAACTAACTTGTACAATCACACAACCGAGAAAGGTTTCCCCATTTCACATGTGGCATACATGAAAGTATCACAATCAACAAGATGGTTGTGGTTCACACTACGATCACACACGAGTGGACTAGACATTTGTTCAACATTGCCGCAGTCAAACTATGGAAAAGGATAAATATGACTCACTGACGTCGTTCTCCTCATCTGATTCTTCATCCATGATATCATCTCTTTCTTGCTGATTTGCTGTATCGAAATCCGTTCTAAAAGTGATCAAATGGTCTTCGTCATCACCATCAGCATCACCAACCCGGGTCCCGCAGACACCTTTGAACAATCGTGTCCGAATCACGTCCGTGATCAAATTGAGGCATTTTGTGTCCGCCTTACCGCTGATAATGAGGCTTTCAAAAGTCAATCTCACAACAGAGCGCAGCATGCTCGATGGATAAGAAATCAAACCCAAAAGTACATCGACCAAGACGGCAGACCATGACAAAACGTTCATTTCGGAACTCTTTTTTTGATGCGTTTGTCTCTGGATGCATTCTTTCAAATCATCTAAAAGGGTGCTGGTCTGACTCCACTCTATATAGGGGTTTGGGAAAGTGACGAGGCAGTAAGACGATGGTCGGCCTCTTGTTTCAATGAGAAAAAACGTTTGTGTTGGATAAAACAACATATACTACTATCGCTCGAAAGAGATGCACCAGTAGACATGCAAATACATCAGTGTGATGAACCCAAGAAATAGGAATATGTTTAAACCGTTAGTTTTACTTCATGACTAAAGACCTAATTAAAAGAGTACAACTAGTTTTGGACGGGCACTGTATTCCTTTTTTGGGGTTCTATGTTACATGAGCTAGACATTTTCATGGTTTGTTCGTAGGTACAATATTTCTAGGTTTCCATAACCAGATAATCCAATCACAACTGGCCAATATTCATCATAAATACGATATCACAACAGGTGTAATTCGACATTAGGCAAGAAAAAACCAAGAACCGAAAACTTTGGAGAATTCCTCTGCGGCCTACGTCGTTAATCTGAGACGTAACTGGAATGTCGACCCCATCATATTCCTTAGCATGGTACACAAAGTAGAGCAGTACTCAAAAGAACTTGGTATCAAACAACGATTGCCGTCAACCATAACCCTCAAACAGAATATCTGTTAAACATACAATACAGCACAGCAAGAAAGATGTATTATTATATTTCACACTTGGACAGACTGTGCCAAGAAAATCATGGTACAATAATCTTTATAAAATGAAAAGATGTGGTATTCATAATATCAACAACCACGAGATTACACACTACTGACGTGAGTCGACGATGTTAGAGCAAATCAATACCTTTATCCTTAACAGTTGAATGAAAAACTGTGGGGCACCAACACTCCTCAAAACGGAGAACAAAGGAAACATAAACCGGAGAAAAGCCTCGGACAAATGTTATTTGATATCTTATGACCTACAATCTGCTGACGAAGGGCACAGTCCAGTTTTCTCTAACAGATGCGTTATGGAAGGGGGAAGCATTTAATGGAAGCGTTATGCGGGACGAAATGAGCACCGGTAATCCTTAGCCTTATCTTTAAGCTGAGGGACACAGTGGTACCACACACCATTCAAACGAGGGTCGGTCGACTGCACGACTACCAATGGGAGTAAAATTTCAATGCGGTGGTGGATTGGATGAGCTGAGGGTTATACGTAGGATGTTTCCAAAACCCTCAATGAGTCGAGTGCCTCGGATGCCGACTGGTTACTCCTCCCTTGCACCACGAGAACTGCTCCACAACGACCAAGAGTCTCAAATAGTCTCTGCTGAGGAAGCCCTACTCATTGCCTTCTCGTGTTGGAGGTGTTTACCCACCAAAGTGAGAGGGTGAATAGCCGACATCCGGGGCTATAACCGGGTTAGTAGACCACTGGTTCACCTAGTTCACCTAGGGGAGCTGGCCCATAACAGCCCATAACGCATATAATGATGAATTTCTCGACCATAGGTCTCTTCAGTCTATAGTTTCTCCTCTCGTCGATAAACCTTCTACACCAGACAAATTCATTACTCCCCAGCCCTCCCCCATTTCATCTATATTCCGTAATCATCCACCTCTCTAGGATTCCACAGACGGTAGTACTAACAGTCGTGCCTCAGATAGAAACTCTGTTGCTATTCTCTCGTGTACTACCCCGACTCGGGCGGGGGTGGACCGGTGGTAACGTCAACAATTATTACCTCGGGGGACGTGTGTTCGAATCCCACAACCACCGCCTGACTTTACACATTGTGTGCTGAATGGTAGTCTTTTGATTGGCTGCTTCTCCCTCCTGAAAATAGTACCTTTATATATTCAATAAAAAGGAAGTCAAATGAAAAGAGAAGACTACTGTCCAAGTCTCACAGATATTCCATCACTTAAAGCTTTTCTCGGTGCACCATGCAATTTAAAACTGGCGACATTTAATATGCACACTCAGATGAATATAAGACAAAATTCTTCTTTAGGACGTGCGCTGGACACCCCAGCCATCGATGTGCGTTGTTACCAAGAAACACGCATTCAAGATTCGAGCTGCGTTAATAGATTGACATCCCCATCAAACCCATATGCGAAGTTTCACTGACGCCGGACTGGGGACCCACAGCCTCCAGCTTTAAAATGGGTCCGCGCAGTAACTGATAATAGGGCGTCAAAGCCGTTGGTGCCCGTCATTCTCCGCCAATTGTGCTGGATGCATCGCTTGAATCTTCACCCTCTGACAGCCGCTACAGCCTCGTCATCCTTACCATAGACCAAAGACAATCGTTTTTTAGACACCCACGCTGCCATCGACTCTGTCGATGGGAACGCACTTCGGATGTTTGTTGAGGAATGGGGTACCTGAGAAGTATGTATTGACCCTCAAAGAGTTATATTGTCATATTAGTGTCATATCAGTGCAGGCTGGGGCCTATGGCCAGCTTTCGCCACCTTTCGCCATTTCCGATGGAGTTCGACAAGATTCTCCTATATCCCTATGCCTTTCCGACTTTGTCAAAAAGAATCTTCTGCGGAACGCTTTGTCCAGTCGAAACTCTCCCACGGAAGAGAGTCCTTGACTTTGAATATGCCGATGACAACCGCTTTTCCGATTGACAGCGAACAGGCAGTCTAACATGCTTTGCACCGCTGGACGATAAAAGTATCAAGGTATGATATGTACTTTGCACCATCAAAGTGCAAAGTGCTTGTTCAAGACTGGCAGCAGCATGTGCCTGCACTCATCCTCTATGGTGATCAGCTGGAAATGGTTTAGAGTCTCAAGCACTTCGACAGCATGATCGTTTCTGGTGGTGTTGGAGAGGAGATTGCATCACGAATAGCGAAAGCTAGAGCAGCAGTCGCCAACCTGCGACACCTGTGGCGCCGCCATGACATCCGACTGTCAATTAAGAGAAAAGTGTACACAGCCGCGGTTCGTAGTGTTCTACTTTGCGGTTGCGAGACCTGGCCTCTCCGAGCGGAGGATGCTAATCGACCTTCTGTACTCGACCACCGATGTCTCCGAAGCATTGCTCGTGTCTGGTGGGAACATTGGGTGAGTAGTGACGAGGTCCGTTGTCGTGTGTTGGGTGTGTATAGTCGTCCTCTAACAGAAGTAACAGCTCTACACCGATGTCGATGGTTTGGTCGTGTATCGTGTATGATAGACGGAGGAGAGTGCGATTATCACCAACAGCTGCAGTCTTTTCCATCTCTTTACATTTTCCGACCACGACGAGACTGCATTTTGACGAGGTATGTTGACTTGTGCGCCTCAATGACCCTGCGAGCTACTCAGGATGGCTTCTCACAGCCGTAGATCCA